CACGTGCCTGTTTTTAAACAATCATTTTCAAAATACAATAATTTTTTTTGAAGTAGATCATCCCATGAAGATGATTAAATTGTGTGAGAATCAGAAATTTGACGGATCTTGGGAGTTAACAGAGAAAATCTCAAAAATACTCGGCAAATCACAAAATGAAATAAAAACATCTGCAACGATACAGGTAAATTGTATAAAATGTAAAGTAATTTTAATTTGTTATAAACGATACATTGGATGCATTATCTAAAGTAAAAGAGTTGCATACAGTTACACCTGTTTAATATAAACTACTTTCAAAGCAAAACAAGTCAAACCTAGTGAAAAATTATATTCTATCCCTGATGATGTTACAAACCCTTAATAATTTTGAAGAAAAGAGAGTATGAGAATAAGTATGTATCTGATTATTCAAGTTAAGATTTTGCATTCTGAAATATTTTATCAAACATATGACAAAGATTCAATTATAATTAATTTTACCTGCAGGATGTCAATGTTTGGACGACAGCTCTTGCGATTGCATTTTTGAGAAAGTATTTCTTAGAACAAAGAGATGAATGGGAGATGATCGAGGAGAAAGCGTTTAACTGGTTGAGGACAAGAGATGTTGAAGGCAAAGATGTCGTACAGGAAGCAATGAATTTTTTATCAACCTAATTTTTTTGTTACTTCTGTGCTATTTCAGCTTGAAAATAACATTCCTTCTGTGGAAATTTTACTACACAGATCTTGTATGTTACATATCGCTGCAATGCATGCAATACAATACCTCTCATGTAATTTTAAAAATATATTACATCAACTTACTGACAGGATTATAAGTTCCAGGTGATTTCTGTAAGAATAGCTTTCGTACATTTATGATTTGGATTATCATTTCCTCAAATTTCGGTTTATGAAGTCCAAAATAGTGAAATTGCAAGGTTGAACTTTTGTCATCCATGCTTGAGTGTTTGTAGTAATAGTTGGATTTTGAGGAACTATTGTTTATTCCAGTTATTATGCAAGTAGCCTATACAGTGATGTTGTTTTTTGTCTATTAGCCTTAACTATATTCAATACAAAAGCACTTTATATAGTAGTTTTAATACTCAGATATTTTTGAAAATGGTAGATAAATTAGACGGAATTAAACCTTTTCATTGTTCCATAAATATTTTTGCAAAGACCGGTACCGAAATAACTTAAGCCTAATAAGAGAAGATTTGCTCCCACTGATCAAGATTCTTTTTTTCTTTTGAACAGGAAACTTAATATTCAAAATTACAATGTACCATTATAATGATTTTTTCTTTGCATTAAAACAAGTTTTAATATCCATATTGCCATTTACCGGTATATTGAACCATTAAATTGAATTACAAAAGGATGGAAAATGTGGGCGGAAATCTAGAATTAATGTGCATAGTTTTTATACAAAAAACAAAATTTGGAGGATTTGGGAATTTTAAAACTGAAATCAGGCTGAAAACACCGCTAGATTTTCAAATATTAACGAAAATGGATTTAAATGACTCGTTTGTTTTAAGCTATGCAATATTCAATATACGTAATTGATTATTAGTAATAAAGTACATTAATTTTAAATTTGTAATGTCATTTGAAATTGGTAATAAAATATCAATTTTCTGTTCTTATCCTTTAAACACGTGCCCCCCAAGGACTAAATTTGTTGTATCGCAGGGAAAGATATTTTGAAATTAAATTTACATTTTACATTAATAGCTATAGTGAAAATTTTCCTCAAATTAAAGATTATATATCTTTGTGTTATGTTTCACATGCTCAGATCAAGATCTAGAAAGGGGTTGGGGCGGATCACCCATTTAACATTTGTACAGTCATATAATATATAAACTAAATAATCTAAAACTGAGTTCATGTTTTTTTCCTATTAAGAAATTCCAGTGTTGTTTTTTTTTTGGGATGGACCTCTCTTGGAAAAAAAATATCCTGGATCCACACCTGATTTTTTGACAATTCACATAAATATCTATGTAAATATGAATTTTTTTTTCAAATGTCTGTGGCAGCTGGCATAAAGCAGTTGACTGTAAGCAGTGAGCAGTTGGCAGTAAGCAGTTAGCTGTCGCCTTTGGAATTCCATTTACCTGTTTATAAAGAGTAGAGCTTATTATATATAATATTAAAAAATGCGCCTCGTACGCTTAAATTAAATGATAGAAAAATGCTGATTGCCAACTGTCAGCTGCTTACAGCCAACTGCCACAAATATTTGAATAAATTTTATTTTTATATCGATATTTATGTCAATTAAAAAAAGCGCGGATCTATAGGATATTTTTTTCCAAGAAGGTCACTCTGGTAAAAAAAATCCAACCCAGAAATATCTTGACAAGAAAAAAAAAGACATAAAGTCCTTTCCTAAAAGCGAAAATTTATTTAGGCTGGAGACAGGGGGTTCTTATGCGTCATACCTTCACAACTTAACACGAATCCACATTTTCGGTTGGGGGTATCTAAGGTCCCTTTTAGTTGATTTATTTCATACATTAAATAACTTTTAGTTGGTTTAGTTTGTGCATTAAATAACTTTACCAGAAATTTCAGAGGGGTTTTCCGGACCCCTCTCTCTCTAGATCTATGCATGTAAAACATATTTTATTTGTACAAACAAAGAGATATAAATGTTTGATCGATGTTTTCTAAGTGGAGGGTCCAAGGTCAGTCGGTAGTTTGTTTAGTTTATTTAACGTAAGACTGTACAAATTTTAAATCCCCCCGGAGATGTATGCATGTGAAACATTATAACACACAGAGATATACATCTTCTATTTGAGGAAATTTTTAACTATAGAATACAATGGAAGACGGAAATTTATTTTCAAAACATCTTTTTCTGCGATACAAGGAATCTTTTTCATTATTATTCTCTCTTCAAAGGTTTTGTTGTCTCGGGGGGAGGGGGGAGGGGCTTTTTTAAAGATTAAAAGCAGAAAATAGTCATTTTATTACCTATTTCAAATAGGAAAACAAATAAAAAAAAATAAACAATGTACTTTATCAACCGCTTATATTGAATATTGAATATTACATAAGATAAAAGGTATTGTTCATTTTCTTCAATTCAATTTTACCAGGGTGACCCCCTTGGAAAAAAATGTCCTGGATCCGTACCTTTTTTGTGAAAATTCATATAAAAATATCAATACAAATATACAATGTATTCAAATATGTGTGGCAGTTGGCAGTAAGCATCTGACAGTTGGCAGTAAGCAGTCAGCAGTTGGCAGTAAGCAGTTGGCTGTCGTGTATGGCATTCCATATGATGGTGAAAATTCTTTTTATAGCAAAAGTTAAATTTTAGGAATATGATTTAATTTTAACATTTAGATGAGGTCTTATTTTGGCAAACGTGCTCAGCACTAACAGTTGACTTTTAAAATTTGAAATTTGACCACAGAATATTCCGTCTACAAAGAATGCTTACCTCTCCTAGCGAAGAACCTGAGTTTTCAGGGGTTCGTGTTCTATGTCATGTTTAAAGATAAGTAATAAACTTCTCTAGATTTAGGAGGCTATTATTAATTAACCACCAGATTTAACTGAATTTTTTAGGCATGATATCTTAAGCTTTCAACTATCATCTGGCAAAAAAAAATTATACATTTTAGTTTTTAAATATGATCATTTTTGGAGCTCTTCTTTTAAATGAGGTCACTGAAAATGGCAACAATCCCCAGTCCCTTTAAGGACGTTGGGGGTCATTAAATTATCCATCAGATATAACTTATTTTTAGATAAGATATATTAAGCTGTCATCTATCATTTGGCAAAGAAAAATTTCATACATTTAAGTTTCAAAATTTGATCATTTTTTATATGGAACTCTTCTTCTAACGAAGAACAAAATCGTATAAAATGGCTACAACCCCCAGCCCCTGTAATCACTGTTTGTTATCTCTACCTGTCATTGCTAGATCCCAATATTTATCTGTGGAATGATTTTTTATGAAATGGTTAAATAACGTTATGGTAATTATAAATCAATTTGGTTGTTTTGAATATTGGAGAAATTTATGTTCCGACATGTAAATTTGAAAAGTGTTTTCTTTAGTGGGATATATACAGTGTATGTTGAAGTAATATTTTTAAAGATATACACATGCTAACTCTCGATTCCCGCCAACATTTTGCAACCATTTAATTCAATATAAATGGCGATTTGGCCATAAAATCTTTGTTTAATACAAAGAACAATTCAATGGTAATTGACGAATTGTCTTAATACAATATAAATAGTAAATTATCCATAATTCCAGCTCTTGAAAAAAGTTTGTTAGACGAAATTTTCCATTGAAATTGAATTGGACTTTCAAGCATCACCATATTTGAAATAGTCTTGGATATGATTAAGTGGTCCTTATATGTTTTCTTATGTTTTAGACAAATAAATAAAACATAAATATATTAATAAAATATAATATGTCAGTTGTAAATCGCTTTGAAATTGGTGGAAAATAAGCATTTTTTGTCGTTTTTTTGTCAATAAACATATGTACCCCCGTGACACACAAAAAGCCTTGTATGAATTTGTGAAATAACAGTCAATATTACCTGTAAAAAGGAATTTTTGTGTCAAAGGGGGGGGGGATGTTTAAAAAATAGTTTCCGTTTTCTGTTGATTTCTATAGTGAAAAACACAAGTTTTACCAAAATTTTAGAGTTACACGTATCTCTCTTTGTTTTCCCAAATAAGTAATGTTTTATGAAAATCCATATAAATATCAATATAAATGCTAAAAATCATTCAAATATCTTAACTTTTGAAAACTGACTTGGAGGTAGGCGGGAGAACAATACTATCATTCGCAGTTCTTTAATTCTTTTAATTACTATTTATCAATGCTGATCATAAAATGATATTTTAAATTTTTAAAAAACTTTTTATCCTTCTGACTACTTGTCGAGGTGTTCTCATTCATAGACAATTTTAACTTTATATTTTAATACAGGTAACTTTGATTTCTCAAACATTTTAGCTTATTTTAAACATCCAGATAACAAAATCTTATGTGATTTTGTCTTATTATTCTTTATTGACATTAGTTTGACGGTACCTCCCCTCCCCCCAATGAAAATAAAAAATATTATCTTCCTTCACATCTATCAGCCTCGATTTTCCTTTACATAGAAATCATCATGATCAGTGTATTATTTTTCTCCTACGGAAATCTCTTTTCTCTACGCTTCTTTGCATCTGCTATGTTAGTACAGGAAAAATATTCTGGTCATCGATATTTAGACTTCCTTTGCGGGAAATCTGCTTAATTTTCCTGTAGTAAAATTCGAACAAAAAAGCTAGTATTGCTTTATTCCTTCATTTTGATGCATGTGCATGTTCACGGCCAGGAACACGTTAAGTTCCAAGACAGTATCTTTGTCAGAAACCTTTTATGTAATTATAGCACTGAAAAGGGCTTGTTGTCATGAATTTACAGGTGAGGTTACGACAAAATCCGTCCTGTGTCATTACTTGAGAAGACAGGCCGTGAGCATTTTTTCATTTTTTAAGTTAAATCATTTCAATCAATGTCTGAAATTGCAATGGGGAACAGGACTGACACCCATTTTGGTGTTGTATGAATTTAAGTCATTAAAATGAAGTAATAAAAGAGGAGTTTGCGTTGGCGATATTAAACCCCGGTGAAATCAAACGTGGATTTCATTCATTTTCTTATTAAGATGGTATATTTTTTGTAAATAGAATATTCTATATATACCAATTGGTGAAGTCAGTATCAAGACATGTTATAAGCCTTTACAGACAAAAATAGAACAAATTAAAACTGAGAATTTTGATTTCTTATAATTTATGTCCGTTGTCATGACAAGATACGAAAATTCAGTCCGTTGTCGCTACTGTACTGTACACGTGTATACACTATGAAGGAGGTCGATTTTAGTTTTTATAATGTTTTGAAATGTTTCAAGCATGCCTCAATAATTGGGTGAACTAATTAGTCATAATGAACTAAACGTATGCTATTTTCTATATTTTATATATTCAGCTTTTGTTGGTCATACATAGGGCTTCAGCCTTTTTCCTTAAAAAAACTAAATTCAAAGTGAAGGAAGAAATACGCACGCCAATTCTCGATTCCCGCCTACATTTTGCACCCATTTAATTCAGTATCAATGACAATTTGGCCATAAAATCGTTGTTTAATACAATCAGATCAGATCAAATTATCCCTATTTCCAGCTCTTGAAAAGGGGGTAGACGATATTTCCATTGAAAGATCACCATATTTTGAAATAGTATTGGATATGATTAAATGTTCCTAGTATCTTTTCTT